TCTCCACCACCATGTCCACCTCCACCTCTACCTCCTCTCTACCTCCATCTCCTCTCCACCTCCACCTCCAAAGGGAAACACTGCCCGAGGTCCTCTCTGGAGACTCAGCCCATGACCTTGTCTGATGCACATCACCTAACCGCCCGCCTTATGGGCACAGGCTCACCTCAGTGTGGATGATCATCACGCCCACCAACATGCTGAGGAAGATGAAGGAGGCTAGCACAATGAAGGTAACGGTGAAGATCCGACTGAACACAAAATTCCGCTCATCTAACTCCTGCTGCAGGTCTGTCCAGCCATCCACCTGCTCAGGCCAGGACAGGGTATGCTGAATGCCAAGACCCAGTGGGGCGGGACTCATTCTGCCTACCCCAGGAAGCCCTGGACCTAGGGGGGCTTCCTGCTCACCCGCACTGCGGATGAGGCTGCTTCTCCTTGAAATCCCCTCCATCCACTGACCGCACGTTAACTGTGGGAGCCCTGTCCTAGCTTCTTCTGGCTCAACTGAACATCTGCCATGGGGAAGACCCACCAGAGGCTCAGCAAGTCCCCAAACCCACACCACCTGAGCATCCCCGCCTTCTCCAGGCCCCTGCCTGACCCACCACGGCTCCCACACACAGTACCGTGGCCAAGCTGAAGAGAGTAAAGAAGGCCACGGCCAGGTTCCCCCAGTTATCCAGGTCCCCCAGCTCTGAAGTTCCAAATAGGTAGAAGCCCAGGATGGCGAAGATGAACATCAGGAGGAAGAGGAGGATGATCACTGAGGCCACGATTTTGGCTGTCTGCCCCACAGACGTGATGAGTGTCTGCAAGATAGGAACACCGGGGCTCGGTCAGGGAACCGCCCCGGCCGCCCCCGGCCCTTGCCCCACGCAGTGCACGGCACATGGTAAAGCCTCGACAAACATTGCCTAAGTGAGTGAATGAGAGTGAGTCAGAAATGTGCCAGGTGAAGGATTGGGTCGATCACACAGGGGTTTCCTGGTGCCCGGCGTTCAACTGCCAGCCACGGGCAGCTGGTGTGTGCTGCCTCAGGTCCAGGGAGCCACCTCCTTAGGACCACTAACAGCCCCCCTCTGTGGTCATTTCCCAGACTCCTGCCCCGGGTTCTAGGCTGGAGAGGAGCTGGAGGCTCCAGGGGAGTGAGGGAAGCCTCCCTGGAAGTGAGCATGATAAGGGTCCAGTGTGGGGAGGGAGGGGGTCTGCATTCTTTCTGAACCCCACCTTCGTAGGCAGGTCCCCATCTCATGGCCTCAGTTTTCCCTCCAAGAAATGGAAATCAGTCTTATCTCCCTACTACACCGCGGAGTGTTGCGCAGCAGCCCACGGCTCCTCATCCTGCATGCCCTGGAGTCCTACACTTAGTGGGTGCCCAAGACAAGCTGACCTATCTAGACATCGTCTACAGAAATAATAGCAAGGTTAAAACAAAAACAAAAGAAGAGCTGCCACTGAATTGCTTCCGATGCCTCGTGCCCTCGTGTGTGTCTGCGTAGAACTGTGCTCCCAGGCGGCTTTCTAGGTCTGGTTCTCTGGAAGTCTATCACCAGACCTTTCTTCTGAGACACCTGTGGGTAGACTGGAACTTCCCACTTTGGGCTAGTGGCCACGCCCATTCATTGTTTGTATCACCCACGGAATCCATTTTCAAAATAAAGCGGAAAGTAGATCCAACCATAAATAAATAAACACACCACTGACATTGAGTCACGATGTTCACGATCTTTAGCCATAAGAGAAATGCAAATTAAAACAACAATGAGATACCACCTAACACCCTCAAAGATAGCCCAATTCAAAAAATC